GCAAAACAACGCGTAGAATTTTCTTTTCAATAAAATATAGAGAAATGCCTAACATTCGTGGTCTATAATAAAATCGAGACCTTAAATTAGTAACGTATTCGTGGGAATTAAACAAATATTCCTTTTTAGGCCAGATACAGCCCTAACAATCTTAAATATCACTAAGAACAGAAACGAACTACTCCATAAAACCAGAGGGATTTTGTTTTCATTTTTACTATAAAAATTCCAGGATAATTATAGTTTACATCACCCCATTTTAAATAATAGAGGGTAACTTTCAAAAAACGAGTTTTTTTGAAAGAAAATATTGTAGAAATTTTTATAATTATTGCTTTTATGGTAGTTCGTTCTGCTTATGGAACATGTTAACTTCTCTAGCTTAAATCTACAATAAAAAATCGTTTTGTCACCGAATATTTTCGTAAATATAAGGCATGGACTTTCTCAGCATTAGGTCATTATTTTTTGAAAAATTCTTTATAATATAAATTAAAAATAACTTACTTACTAAGTAAGTTATTTACACTAAGTAAGTAAGTTAAAAACACTAAGTAATACTTAGTGAGTAATTTTTTTAGATGACCAATATTTTTTTAGATTACCAACAGTTAAAGAGTTCTAAGTTGTTAAATAAGGAACATATTACGAATTACTATTGTTAAAAAATAGTAGGACTAATGCTAAAATGTCCACAACTAAGGCATAATCGGGACACACACCAATCACGAATTTAGAATTATACATGTACCAACATTGATACATGGACAGCTGTCGTCATTATGGTCAGAAATATGACATATTTAATTTATCCTATGAGACGTTTTTTTTTCTGACATCGTCAGAAAATTTTAAAGCTAACTATTTGGGTGAAGGAACTGATATGTTTTACAAATTTCGATTGCTACCGCATTGACAGAGTTGACTCTAGAGCATAAAGAGTAACTTTGAGTTTTATAGCTATATAATTAACCAATTTCAGCATCTCTTTGCTGTTAAATGCGTGTATTTTTCGAATTATTTGATATTAAAATAGCTCAAAGGTTTAATGTAGTATTTTATTGATACCTCTTTGTAATAAAAATGCAATAACAATAAACATGACTCGTATCTTTTATGATTATAATAAGAAAATTTTGAAATTATACAGGTACGTTTAGTGTTTTTATATAGGGTACTCTAAGAAGTAGTACTGCGCAAGCAAAAGAAATATTGATGCATCAGTCCCTGTTTAATTAGGATTGAATTATATGTTACTTAAAGCTATCCCATTACGATTCCTTGCCATATTTCCGATCATAATTCGTAGACCGACAGCACCGATTAAATATTAATTGTTTTTAGATAAGTCAACAACTAGTTAACAGCCACTAAAAAATACGTCCGACGGCACACAGTACACTTAACACGAGATGGGAGTGATAATGGCGCATCATCGAGATATAACGGCACATTTACATCACTTCGGATTGTTTCGGCATTCTTCGGCAGCGCGTCGCGGTCTTTCGCTTACGTCGGTATCGTTCGGGGCTATGATCGGTTCGGGAATCGTACGCGAACGTTTCGTTCTCGTACACGTCATCATCGGCAACAGATTCCTACATATTTAACACCTAATAATTGCAATAACACTTGTTTTATGTAGTTATGATACATTTATCGAGTTCGTGTTTAGATTGGAGCGCGTACAACTCCCGGTCCGAGCTAAACATGATAACATTTCTAACTAACTATTACTATTTACATGCACTGTAATTCAAATCGTGGCAACACGGATAATCAGTCAACGAAATATGTATTAAATAAAATAATTAGTTATATATAGTTAGTTATACATACACAAGTTAAGTTGTTTTTTTTGAAGTGTAAAGCTTCATTCAGAACCTCGCAATTAGTGGAATAAATTAGTGGTTTCAATTAGCGTAGAAGTTTGTTCCTTTAATTTCAATGTAAGCATTCAGAACGTCAAAATTAGTGGTAGACATTTTCAATTAGTAGAAAAAGCTATCAAACTTTTGACTTTTCCACTAATTATACTTCAAAATTTGCGAGAAATGTCATTTTGGCCTTTGACTATCTTCCGTCAAGAGAAATTGTGGTTAGAAATCAAAAGTTGATTGTTTTATAAGATAAATATTAGGCTTTCTCTATGGAAACAACTGACTAATGCAAGCTGTTGCTAGGATATTCTATTAATTTTAATTGTGATCTTTAGACATTGTGAATGATCGTAAACTAAAAAGTATAAAGTGTAATTGCTACCACTAATTTATACCACTAATTGCGAGGTTCTGTGAATGAAGCTTAAATTGTGAAGTAACAAATTGTAAATACATATTTAAAGTTGAAACACGATCTTTAAAAAAACAATTTTGTTAACCAAGTTATTCTTTGATATATTATAAACTAGGCACTACTGTTGGGTGGTAAAGTATATAAAATTAAAGCAATAAAAATATAGCTCAACATTTCTCAAACTCCGATTATTTTTTTTATCTTGATGCTCCTAAATTTGTAACGAACAACTTTTTTTAATATTTTTATGTGGTAATTGATCGGGTTTTTGAGATAAAAATTGATATCGTAGCCTGCTAGATTACGAGCAATATTACATACCAACTACATAGTAATATAATAATCTGAATTATTTAGAATTACAGTTATGTTGATCAACGATTGTTGATAGTTTGTTTAAAGTTTAAAAAAAATATTATGAAATATGGTCTCTAGCAAAATTTTGTAGGCAATTTAATAAACAATAATTGTTAGATTGCCTCTCGATTAGCGATTGTAATTGTGTGCTTCAGAGATATTTATGAACTTGGATATTTTGTAAACAACCGATAACTAAAGTAAAGGTTAAAGTATATGTGAATCATAGACTGTTAGGTTATGATTATTTTGATTAAACAACATACTTTGACAAATCGTGACTATAATAGTGTGTTTTTTTTGAAGATATTAGAAGAGAGTGTTCTTTTTATAAAAACGAAGAACACATTTCATGTTTAAAACAAAAAAAAGTTGTAGTGAATTAGTGCTTTATGGAGCAAAAGTTTGATAAACTCATAACACTAAAACAAAGGGGAAAATAGCTGCAGACTAGCAGTTGTAGAAAAATTCTGTGAAACATGTATTTAAAAAACAGTAAAAAAATTAAATTTAAAAACTAAAAACATATTTTTTTTTTGTTTTAAAATATTAAAGAAGCACAACATTTATTTAGTTCAATCACAGATTAGGTATCCTATAAGTATACAGATAAAAATCTTGTTCCTAATTCGTGGTACGAAAATTGTTTTTTATGACGATGTGCAAACGAGTCAAATTTCGTGTGCGCAAAAATAAACTCGCGTAAAATAACAATAAACAGCGTAATAGAGAGATATCGCTAAACCGAATAGCGTTCATGGACGTTAATAAGGCCAGGTGTTATTTCCTTTACGTGAGGTGGTAACTCTCTTCATTTATAGTTATCGGATCGGAAAGAATTCTGATCGCGTCGCGTCCGCTATTTAAACTTAACCTAATTTTGAATTTAAAACTTTGAAATTGTTTTGCTTAGTAGGTATTTTAAAACTAAAGGGCTAAAGTGCTTATTTCCAGTGCTTTATTGTTCAACGTCTGCCAGTGGGTTTAGGGCAACAAGCAACAAATTCTCTTAGAAGGGCTAAGTCGTCATCTGCTGTAAACCTGACTCTTTATAGGTTCTTTAGTATTGGAAGCGGTGGAATCCATATTTTGGGCCATATTTATTTAATTAAAACTAATCCCAGCTACTTAAATATCATATTACCTAATAAAACTAAAGCAATAATTCAAAACAATTCAAACATAACTTAAAATAAAAGATCTCGCCGGCCGGCTCCGGTTGTCAAATACCCGCCCATTCCCATTTAAGCAATTTTTAAACGTTATCTGAGGTTATTTAGAAAAAGCGCTTGGTGTAATCGATCCGCAAATTACGTCAGGCGGTAACGTTATTAGCGGGTGTTGCGTTAAAAATTGACTCGCGCATATCGTAACCATGATAAGGTACGCGTAAATACTGTATGACGCTATTCGGTTTTCCGATATCTCTCTAATAACTGTGCCGGTCAGGCGCTGTGCATAATTTTAGAGACCATAAGTGGGCGTGCTATGTGCGCAAACTAGTAACCTAACTAGTACCCGATTCCGAAAATTGGAACCACGAAAAACAATAAAGAAAAAATAAAGATTATAATCTGTATAATCTGTGGTTCAATGCTAAGGAAAGGGTGACAGTAGTTATCGGAAAAAAAATCAAAATTAACAATAACCATCTGTCAAAAAAATTAACTCGAAATTATCTTACCATAGAAACGCCTTTTTATTTTTAGGACTTTTAATCTATAATTCTATAATTTTTCAAATTTTCTCTAAAACGGTATAGAAATTTGGAAAAAATATAGAAAAAAGCAAAATTTTTTTATGAAGAATGCATTTATCTCAAAACGCCAATAACAAAAACCCGGGGATACACTGTATATTAGTCTGCTTTGAAAATAACAGTAAAAAAAGATTCTTTGAAAAAGAAACAATTTTGTTGATTAATTATTCAGTAGAACTATAACGGAATAATAGACTTTCTCGAAATATTGCCCTGACTTGCATCAAGAGGTTGGACATTGAAAGTGAACTTAAAATTAAAAAATAAAGAGAATTACCATCAGTCGTAGCAGATATAAAAATGATAACTAAAGCAAAAGTAAAAATATACCAATGATATCCTTCTCGGTTATGATAATCTTGATTAAATATATTAATCAAAACCACTTGTATTTAGTTTTACATTAGGTGTACTAGAGTACTACTCAAAATATTTAAAAGATAGAGATTAGACAATAAAAAACTACAATTTCGTTGACTGACTTTCACAGTTGCCCACCCAACATCGTCCGAATCACTCTTCTAGTCCGGTTCATATCGCGTCGGCGTCGCGTTCCGACTCGCCGACGTCATCGTAGTAGTCGTGGGGCGGCAGTTCGGGCGGCGGCGGTGGGAGCGACAGCGCCCTGAGGGGCACGGGGGGCCGCGTCAGCGAGTACGTCTCGTCGCGGACGACTTCGACGACCGCGTCGGAGGGGTCGGGCAGCCGGCAGGGGGGACCCGAGGCCATGGAGGCCCCGCCGCGCTGCTTCTGCCACTATCAGTGCTTGTATTCGGGGTAGCGCTTGGGGCGGTGGATGGTGGCGTGGTCCGGGTGGGCCGGCGGGTGTGGCGGGCCGGGTGCCGGGGCTCTGTGGACACAGGCAGGATCGGTTAAATATCATTTTCAATAACATGCTTTACTTTAATAGTCAAATCAGTATAATGGAACACAGGACACAGATGAATCCGCCACATAGGTATAGACATTTATTACGTACCTTGCTATACTGGGCGGTTCCTCGCTGGTCGAACTGCTAGGCGAGGGGAAGTACTCTCTGGGCGGCGGTCCACCACCCGCAACTGTCCCTGCAGTACCGGACGCGCCCGGGAGACCGCCCACGGTGTCCTCACTGGCCCAGCGGGCTAACTGCTGTTGAGCTTGAATAAATTCATCACTAGAAAATGAGCAAAATATGGCAGACCTACCGGAAATGACACGGTGGTACACCGAATGAGTGAGTCTAAGACATCTAAGGACATGCAAAGTGGCTGAACGATTGATTTCTTTTTTTTTGGATCATATCATGTATACTAAAGGTTAATTTATACTATACTCTGTTTTTTATCTCAGGTAAGATTTCGACAGACGATGACAGAAGAAAAGCAGATGACGTCCCATACTAATCTATTTATTTTACTAAAAAAAGTTTCTAATAATTTTTAAGTTATCTATGGATGGGTTTAAATATAAATCCGTCATGCGTCGTCATTTTGTTGTTTTTAACTAGTTTTATTGGTTTATTTAAAAAATGACAGATCGTATTTCAATTTTATTGGTTTGACGGAACGATGAACGACAAACGGACGCCGATGCGTATGAACTCGCCTTTAGATTTTTGTCATTTTTGACGCTTGTCAAAGTCTTGCAAAATTATAGGTTATAATTTTGTGTCAACTTTTGTTAAATACCCTGCGTTTTGGAAGATGATGCATTTTAATTCGTATTATTACGTGTGTTTTGTGTCTTTTGAAGTCAAGTGGAGGAAAAATCGGGTGATAATTAACTGTAGACCCAGAGCACAGTTTATGGTTAATACTCGCTGCCCAGGCAGAAAGTCTTATACACCGATGAAGTTGCCATCGATAAAGTTTGTATACCATCTCGTCGTAGATAAGTGCATCTCGTATATGATAGAAGGATCACACGATGTCATAATGTCAAAAGGTACTGGTTTAAAAAAATTAAGATTAAAGTTAATCAACCAGGTATAAAGTTTGGTAGGTGTTATTATTAAAAAAATAGTTTGTTTTATTTACCTATGTTGTTTTATTTATTTCTGTGGAATATTACAAATTTGTATTTCCACATAAGTTATATTGATAAATATAATCATAAATGCGGGTAGTTTCATAAAGCTTGAAAGTAAAAAATAGTTCTTTTTTATATTTTTTTGGTATGTAGTGTCTTGTTCTTGTTTGTTTTGTATTAACACATACCGGTTTTATTAAATAAAATAACTCGATTACATTTTTTCAGTTTTATACAGTTTTTTTCACAATATTTTGAAGTAATCACTTGTCATCTTGTCAATCAAATTTTAAATATTTCCTGCTATGCGTTCCAGTTGTACCAACTTATTTCTTTGTAAAATAAAATAAACTACTTTAAAATTAAAATGACAGACACATCTATAACTGTTAAGGATCTTCTCGTTGGACAGACTATATAATAGTTTATAGCAAATCTTGAGAATGCAACGGAAAAAAAATCGCCAAATAGTGGAGTGCTTTAAGCCCTTATGAGATACAAACTTCGAAATTCATTTACTGTGAACGAATCTTTATAAAACTTTTTGCAATGTATTGTTAATAAGATATATTACAAAGTTTACCTATATTTAAATTCATTTAAATACACACATATACAAATCCATACATACAAGAAGGCTCCGTTTTTCGGAAAAGCTCTGTATCAGGATTCGTATTTGAGATTTTCACTCCAAACCTTTTACAAAGTATATGTTTAATGGTAGTTCACATTTCAAAAATATTTTTATAGATATACAGGGTGAGTCCAATACATATCATTTATTTATTCGAGGTTAGTGAATTTGCTATAAAATTCTGGTTCCAAAACTACATTAATACCATAGAGTATATTAAATGGTCTATGAATCATGACCATGAGGACGTCAATATAGACCTCCAGGAACCTTCGTATGAGAACTTCTAATCGAGACAATCGACTTATTGTAAGTTTATCGCTAAGAAACCGCCGCGCCGTTTGCCAGCTTTTCCAATTGATAATGAATTGCACTTAAGAACCGTACATATTAACTAACGGACTACAAGAAGAAGATTAAATGAAGCAAATATTGTGTCAAGAAGGCCTGCTTCGGGACCAGAACTTACTAGATGTGTTGACTAGGCCCAAAAGCAAAGACATGGTCTTAATGTAAAAATTACGAAAAATGTTAGTGCCTTTTTAAAACCGAATATTTCCAACAAAAATAAAGCTAATGAGATGAACCAAAAAACAAACCATCGAGAAAAAAAAAGCATCTAGATGATAAAATAATTTTTAAATTTCTTGCTGTTTTAACATATTTCACAGGGTGTTTCAAACTTTCATCAAAAATACCAACATCTTGTTTTCCCTCGTATAATTAACAGATGGGGAGTTTCATTTTTAATTTAGAAAAAGATATGTACTAAGAAGTCAAATAATTTGGCAACACACTGCTTAAAAAATCATCAAGATCGGCCCATTAAAATAAAATATATTAACCTTTAAAATACATCAAAGTTTTAAGGTGCCCATTTTTCGTGCCGGTGAATATATTTCAAAAACTATACATTTTAGTCATATAATTTTCTAATGAAACAAACCTTTATTTTTTTACTAGAATCCAAAAATCAATTAATATATAGGGGTTCCATTACAAAAAACATAACTTTGATGTGTAACTTTTTTTGGGGACACCCTGTAGAACTCTACATAATTTTAGAAAATACTTTAAATTGACTTACATAAGCTCAGAAAATTTCACTTCAATACAAACTTTTGTTCTCCTTGCAAAAACCGCGTCGCATATGACGCGCCACCCTGTATAATTCGATTTCAATCAAAATTTCAATGATTCGAATATAAGCAGAATAGGTGCATAATATGCATTAGATTTATTTATTTCAATAAATTTACTTAGAAAAAGAATTAAAAAAATCAAAATATTAAGAAGGAAATTAATTAAGAATTTACTAAAAAAACTAAAATAAAAAATTAAAAGCAACGAAAAAAAATGGGTAAACATTTTAGTATTTTATCTATAAAACACAATACAGTTTTCACAGTAATACATTCACAGTAATTGAATTCCGAGGTAAAAGTCTCTGGGCACTCCACTAAAATTTAAAGTCTATATTTTTTATTTTTAGTCATAATTTTATGATTTTTTTATAAAAGTAAAATTAGTATTATTGTGAAACGAAGTTTTTTTTTAGAAAAAGTATTTCGGAAATTAAGATGTTTAGGACGTACATTCATATGATTTTTTTCTTTTAGAATAGATTCAAGAATCACCCCCTTAAATATTAACATGTCATTAAGGAATACCCTGTATATAGTTTGCTCAAAAAATCATGAAAATATGGCTAATATAGTTATTTTTCGTACAAGACAATTTTTATACAAGACAAATCGCGAGTGAATTAATTTCGGGAGACGACAATGCAATTTTATCGTTGTCTATAAAACAATATTTTTTTCCATAGCGTTACGTTTTAAAAAATATTCAGAAATTATTATTTCAAGGAATTTATTAAGAGTAGAAAAAATATTGAGCTGGGCTGGCGTTGGTTTCTATGTAATTTGACAAATAAATAAAGCTGTCTCTTTAGTTGTCAGTTTTGAGTCAATATTTTTTAATCCTCTTTCGTGTCGATTGCTGATTGAATTGGAGCCAGAAATGGCTCAAAACGGAATAAGTAAATTACCAATAGGTATTCAGGCTGAGGCGACAAACGCCATATCCAAACTACTACCATTTAAATCGCGAATAACTTGAAAAGGAATATAAAACTTTTCAAAAATGGAAGCAATTAAAAAACGTGCGAGAAGAAATAAAGTTTTTAACCTATCCTCGCTGTTAAAGTATCATTTAATCTACCCTTGCGGTTAAAGCGAAGAATATACCTAGCTAGAAAAAGAATGGACTCTGCCATACTGAAAAATGGTCCTACAGAAGTGGCGCCATCTATTGAGTAGGGCTTGTTTTAAATGGATCAAAGCGCGGGCTTTTTAAATGAGAGGATTTGTTGAATTTTACTCTAAAATAATTAAATTTGATTATTAAATCTTATTTTTTACACGAATTCAACAATACTAATAACAAGTATCTTTGTGATGTGTAAAAAATAAGATTTAACAGTATAATTTATACAATTATTAAATAAAATTAAAGCCAAACATGTGTAAATATTATTTATTATTTAAAGTTTTTATTTATAAGTCAAATATTTAAACATCGTTTATTATAATAAAACAAGACCAACGTAATACTCCCAAAGTTTTGTAAATGGAGTAAATATAAATAGGTACTTAAATGATGGCAAAAATAAAAGACTCACATTATATTTTTAGGGCCACAAACAAAAGGAATTGTCTAATAAAAACACATATAACAAATTATAGTTTGAAAAACGTTTTGATAAACATTTTTGATAATATTATGATTGGCGCTATGACAACGACAATATTTTTTGAGAATTTGACAATAGTATGACAATGACCGTTGGAAACTATGGAAACTACAAAAAAAATCTGATTGAACGCCATCTGGCAATAACTAGTAGCAACTTCTTAACCTAAAAATTAATTGCACTACCACCTAGCGCCCGAGGTTGGAACTATTTTATTTGAAATTTCCATGGAAACGGTGGAACCGCTTTTACTATTTCACTTTCCTGGGTTAAAGTACTATTTTATCTACAATTTTTGATAGATATAAGGCAATTTTAACAGTTGCTATGGAAAAAAATATATAACACTTTAAATTTCACGAAAAAAAATTTTGTTGCGTTTTTTTTACATGATTGTATACCGAATTTGAATAAATTTATAATTAGAAATTTTTGCAAATATATCCATTTATTTGAACTATTTTAAAACACGTATTTACATTAAATTACTACTGACTAATTAGTATTGAATGGACATAATCATTTTCTACTTTGAATCTGGTTGTTTTGTATTTATCAGGAAGAGATTAAACAATGCCACTGATTAAATATTGGTTCTAATAAAGAGAAATTTTTAAAATCGACCTTAACATAATGCGAATTAATAATATTGTTTCAGTAAATATAAATAGATAATTAACGGCAAATGATTTCCATTGTAAACCGTGCAAAATTAAATTATTCTTTTGTGCGTGCCAGCAAAACAAACATGAATTGTAAATGCAACAGTAATATATAATTTCGTAAGCTATCAGCCATGTAAATCAATACATTCACAGAATTAAACTGATTATCTCACTATTTATTTATTAATTTAGCAAATATAAATTAATGCATTTGAAAGGATTTTTTTGAATACATTTTTTCCAAATTATTTTTTGCATACCTAAGCTTTTATTTCATTCAAAGGTATTCACGCACATATAGTTCTTTCTCAAGGTAAAACAGCACAGTAGAGGCCTTGAACATTTTGTTTAAATGCTGTACAATTTGTATTATTCAGAGAAGTCTGCACAGTTATTTATGGTTTCTGGAATAGAATTTTGTGGACTCAAGGTATTTACCACAAAGTGGTATAAGTTGGACTACGTTGGGAAAAATCTTAATAGTCCATTTCACTATAGGTATAGTCCGAAACAGTGGCAAAATAAGCGTTCGGCATTTAACCAACTTAACGTTTTAATACTGGCTAGGTATTTTTATACAAATGAAGAAGGAAATTAAAGATAAAGGATTATACTATATCCGTATTGTAGCACATTTTTAGATAACTTCTTTATCTTTAAGATTTTGATGGTGAAACATCAACAAAATATTCCTTATATTTGGATTAAATTTTCTTGAAAATAAAGACATAATTTAAAATTCCATTACAATACGGAAATAGATTGACGTTTTGTGATCATAATTTATATGGTTTTGTAACAAATTGCTCGCTATTTTATGGCAAATGCTGAAGTTCTGCAAACCTTAATCAAGCCTTAATCAAAGTACGTGTGTTTGGAATTTTGCTAGCTAGGCAGGGATCATCGGCATCCTATCTTGGTCCAGAGTCAGTACTGGGAATACCCAAATGTATGGCCCGTAGTGCACTAAAACTCTGGATCAAGGAAAAGCACAATGTCCACTGGAGAAACAGACAGGAGCACAGGCACAGCAAGGCTTTTATCCAAGCACCTAGCTCTAAAACCGCAAAAGAACTGCTAATGCTTAGCAGGAATAAAGTGCGGATTACAACAGGCCTCTTGACAGGCTGTCAAGTGTTATCTGAACAAGCTCAACCTGTATCAAGGAAGTCTTTGCTGCAGACCCTGCGATAAAGATCCTGAAACAGCGGAGCACATAATATGTCATTGCGAGGCTCTGGATCGCAAGCGACACTCTTTATTTGGGAAAGCTAAGAACCGGAGGAACTATGCTCCCATCCTATCAAGGACCTGCATAAGCTAGTGTAGGGCATAGGGATAGGAGAATGGGTGCAGATATAGAAGGGGGACAAACACAATAGGCCTCATAGGTCGCAGTGTTTCCGGCAGAGGACGGCCCCTTGTTATGGAAAAAAAATCTACCTCCAACCACGGTTGGGGTATCTCCACCTCTTTAGCTTGGTCTCTAGCCACCTCCTTAGACCTGATATCCGCTGTTGTCCCGGATCTATAATAGAGACTATATCTCTCTTTCTCTATTGCCTCCTTGAATTTGAGGTCAATTGCTATTGTGAGGACCTGACCATGTTCCTCCTTCCTCGAGTTGATGACTTGTCAACTCGATGTCCTTGCATAGGAGTTTTGGCAAAGCTGATGATACACCGCAGAGGTTAGTCGGTCCACTTCTAAAGAGCCCCGCATCTAGAAGGTAAGGAAGACCAAAATAGAATGGGTTGCCTCCTGTTATCCCAAGGTTGAGATGAGTAGAACTTAATCTTTTATCCGGCCACCTATCCCTTTTTGGTGAGGTTGTTTACTTTTGGCCAGGGCGATTAAGCCAAGACACGACACCCTCTGCCCGTGATACATGACAACAGACAGTAGAGGGTGTATGCCCGACGGGATAGTACCATCCTTTGTTTGCGTTGCATCCTTTTTTCCAAGATCATATTGGAATACAGACCGAAGTCGCGTGTGACTATGTAGCGGTGTAACAAAATACTTATTTCTTTTCATTTATCTGTGCGGTTGGACGGAAAGTACCCTTTAGAATCTAAACTTTTCTTAGCTATTTTTACTACAAACCTTCAAGGTCGATTGTCACTTGCGTTATACTTGGCTCGATTACGCGACGCTATGCTACAATGCAAAGTGCCGCTAGAGAAAGATTTAACTTAATAAGAGGAGAAAATTCACATCTGCGCAGCGCTACATCTTACTACGCATCACTTCTTCGCAGTGCAGCGCAGCGTCGCTCACAGCATTGCCTATTAGTAGATATTTTACTTGTAAGTACTAGATATTTTACTACCAAAGTACGGGTATTTTATTATTATTTATTTTACAAACACACAAAAAAAGAAAATTGGTCTATGCTTTTTACCAGACCATCATATCCTATAGCATTTTTCGACGCTGAGCACGAATCCGCTATCAAAATTACGCTATCATATCTCAATTTTTTTCTAACTTCAAAAACTTGCTGAAAATCCGTAAAAATTCAGGAAAATGTAGTAGCAAAATAAAAAAAAATCTTATGTATAACACTATAACCTAATGTAAATGGGCCTGATAAACTCAAAACACCCATCAGAATTGAGTTAGCATGTCTAATATTTTTTCTAACCTCAAAAACCATACCACAAGTCATGATTTTCGAAAATCTCACGGATCTTAACCAAAACTGGTATATGATAGGTTTTTTTTTTGTGTCGTTGATCATGAATCTGACATCGCGTCGGATTGGCCGAATTCAAAATGGCAGATCCAATATGGCCGATGCGAATTTCAAAAATCGCATGGATCTTAACCGAAACCGGCATAGGGTGCTTTTTTGAGTCGCTGATCACGAATCTAACGTCATCATTCGCAAAATTCACAATGGCGGCAATTTAAAAAAAAACACGGATTCGAACAAAATCAGTAAATGGGAGTTTTTTGGGTCGCTAATCGCGAATCTGAAGTCAAATGGATTATCGATCGCGAAGCTGACGTCGAATTGGCAAATTACAAGATGGCGGAGAACCTCAAGAACAGCTTAGTCTGTGGGCGCGGGACCGATTAGAATCGGACCCACACCGTTCTTGAGGTCGACCATATGGGATCCGCCATCTTGAATTTTGACCACTTTTTTTGTGTGGCTGTGTAATTAAGTGGTGCAGGTAAAATCGGGGATTCTGGAACTGCAGTATTTTATTTTAAGAAAACGATTTTGAAAATACGTATTTTATATCTAGTATTTCAAATACCTTTTTCAAAAGTATTTTGTAACTGTATCTCAAATACTTTGCTTAGAAGTATCTTTCTAGTAACTTGATACTTTTTATGAGGTACCTTGTACCTTGGTACCTATTACCGGTATCTGCAGTTGGTATTTGTCGAAAAATCGACAAATACCAACTGCGAAGTCGAAGTAGCTCGTAGTAACGCATTGCGTAACCGAGCAAATGAATCCCTAATTAGAGTCAACCTTTAATATACATGATACGACCGCCAAATTCGCTTCGCCCAATAAAAGCTCTACTTCTAGACAGTCGCCTGCAAGCTGACGTTTTTCGACACATTCTTACCTCTCGCTGTCGGGAGTGTCCTGGCATACGCCCGTTCCCCGGTCATGGTCTGCGCTCTCGTAAATGCCCTCTTCTTCCTGCCGGTGGTCGCGGTGGGACTGTTGGTAGAGCAGCCGCGCGGAGGGCTGCCGGTACCGGCCGTACCCGAAACGGGAGTCCCGGTGCGATTGGTGGGAACTCTCGCTGCACGCTAAACAAAAATTGATTGGTTTCAGGGAAGAAAACATTATTAAGTATTAAGGAAACCTAAATGTCGATATTTACCTGAAGAAGATTCTTGTCGATAATGCCTATCTGCTTCCGTTTCGGACATCCTTATATCTTCCGACCCACTGGGACTCATGTGCCGCGAATGATGCTCCAGCTGTCGTATAAGATCTTCTAAGTTTCGAATTCGCAAAGTTCCACACGGTGGAACCTCATCCTCGTCTTCCTCCTCGTGCTCTATAACTACTTCGTGAAGCTGTAATAAAGATGCATTAGTATATATCATTATTTTTTTCTTTACTAATTTCTTACTCCTTGTTCACAAACGTTTTCTTTGCTACCACGCCCGCTGCTCCTTCCTTTGAAGTCGGAGTAGCTTTCGGCGCACTGTTGTAAACTTCGCCGAAGTAGTTCCTCGCTTAAAGCGCTCGTACTGCCGGATGGAGTTGCGATCCCTCTTTGGACAGCGGCCTTGCGCAGGGCTTCAACTATGTCGTCATGATAACCGTTCAGTGTCTTTAGAGTACGTTCGACATCTGCGGTTGAACCTACAAGAGCTTATTTAAGTTATTGCAATATAACACAGTCCATGTAATCATGCATTGGAGCCCTTACCGACGCCCAGTTTTTTAACGTATGCAGTCTGTGCAGGCCAGTTTGCGCAGCTTTAACTGTGCAGTTTTACGTTAAATTATTGCTTTTTAAGACTTTGTCTAGATTTTTCTAAAAGAACTTCTTAAAATATTAATCTTTTCAACAACTGCTTCCCTGTTATTCCAACCGAATCAATTTTCTTTTATTTTTCTACTGTAAACCAGGTTTGCACAGGCAGCTTGAGCGATAAAACTGAGCATCTGTGGGGACCTTTAGAGACGGAATCGACCAGACATCATGTACCAGACATTTTCGACAGTTCTATTTGACGTTTTATTTGACTGACGTTTCATTTGAAGTTGATTTGAAGTTTAGCGGATTTCTTGTGCTTTTCCAGAGGTTTTTCTGAGGTTCATGTTATTTACTATTTATTCTACATTTACTTTTGCTTAGCGATAGTTAATCTAGGACAGTGACATTATTGCGAATTCCAGGAAAAAAAGACAGTAAAATAGTTAGTTCTGAAGCGTGCGGAAGATCTTGGTCAAAATCGAGATAAATAAAGAAATAATTTTTCACGGGTTAGTGATTATAGTAATGTAGTACTGTATGATCGAAAACAAGACAATTTTTTCTGGTCAAGACATTCGCCATATAATTTTACATACAAAATGACATATGCAAAATGACAGCGATCTTCATTTCATAGCAATCGCTGACGCCTTTCGATCATACGGTACTTTGCGAAAAAAAAACGACGTCAAGACCGTTGCGGAATGACAATCGTCATTTACTAAAAATTGACATAAAACTTGCCAAAAATTGTTGTAATAATTGTAGAAAGACTAAAAAAGAATACATTTTGCTTCTTCGAAAATGGTTAATCTCATTTATACTGCCGTCTTTGACGTCCTTTATTTCCATCGTATGGTATAAAGAGGAACTAGTCATGAAATGTGTTAATTTGCGAACTCCATTTTTGACTTTAATTTATAATACGTTTAATATATTATTTTTACGTTAAATTTTTAACGAAATATTGAGTCTTATTGTTCCCCAACAAATTATATTGCTATTTCTTTATCATATTAACGCATGAATATACTGGCTACATGTGTATATATTTTTCTGTATTGTTTCTTTTCTCTCCTGTAAAATTAGGAATAATGCAGTTTAACACATTCCACCGGCGAATTGTCTATTTGAAGACTACAGCAAAAATGGGATTTTTTTAACCTGACAATAAGTCTGATTGCTTTCAAAGTACTGAACTAGTTTACACCTTAATTAATAAAAGATCTCGGAAAAGATCGATTTTGAACTTTCCACAGCCCTTATTATTGGACCTGGTTCAATGTTTTGATTGATATAATACCGCTGGTAGCGGTAATAGTTTCGAACTAGTTCAGGCACTAACAATAGTTTTGTTTACCGGTTAGTTTACGAACTGATTCCGAACTAAAATTGGATTTAATTCAGTATTGCTTAAAAGCACCTGTCCAGATATTTATAGTTCCGAAATTCCAGTATACCGAAAACAATTTTTTAATTACAGCGGATTGTAAAGTACCGTAAAACGGGGCTACTTCGGACAGTTTTTGAGGTTTTTTGTAAGTTTCTTGACCTAAGTGTGTTCAAATTCTACTTTTACTGACATATTGTTGTGTTGCCGCTTCAAACCAGGCTCTTCGACGGCTTTCATTCAAAGAAATAGTTATAAAAACTTTTTCTGGAGAGCCTTCAGAGTTATTTAGACAGCCCTTCACAAAACAAACTTTAACACCATTCATTACAAAAATAATAAAGAGGGTACAATAAAACAAAATTGAAAATTCAAAATATTTAACGCCAAACGCAAAATCCACAAAATACAAATCTAACCTCGAACGCCTCGAATATCCGAACAACTTTGGTAGTGTTTAGTGCTTCGATAAAAATGGCAGTAACCTGTTAATTATAGGAATTTTAGTTTTAATTTCTAGTAGTAAAAAATATAAAAGTAAATTTAATATTGGGGTAATAAAGAATAATCCCATATAAAAACGTATTTTTTAACGATCTTAATAAAAACAGAACAATCTAACGTGATTTTAAGATATATGGTGTAAATACGGTAGCAGAGAACTAGACTCGCCATAATATTATTCAGGCTCGCGCCCTCTGTCAACTATTCAGTCAAATGCTGATAGGTAATGTCACAATTTTCTACGCGTCATTTCAAACCAGTGAAATTTGTATTGAATTTGATTTATTATTTATTCCTCAATTGTAACTCCGTTGCATTTCTTTTTGTATTGAGAGAGTACTTTTTAATCACTTCAATTGAATTTTATATTAAAAATAACAAAAATTTACTATGGTTAAACACCGGATTGTCACGGGGCTTCTAACAGGACACTGTCTCCTCAACGAACACCTCAGTAGGCTGAAGCTGAGGAACAACGGCAACGGAAATGCAGATTTTTTGAGGAAAATGGGGAAACATCAGAACACATTATCACTGAGTGCGCCGACAACCGTTCGTGCCATAAACTTTGGTACGCTTGATTTCGGAGATGGAGAGCCGTCTTAGATACTGGATTTTGTCAAAGCCTTGAGACTGTAAGATTAGTTATAATTTTTTATAACTCAAGAAAGCAAAATAAAACACTAAATCACCACAATACACCAAAACACTTTTATTTTACACTGGACGCGCGTTTCGCTAACCATGTTAGCATCATCAGCAGATGATTATAAACTAAAAAATAATCTACATTACAATCTTTACAATCAGAAATATGTTGGGCAAACTAGAAGATCAATATTAACTAGATTTAAAGAATATTTAGCTCAGATAAGATATGGTAGACTTGATAAATCTTGCGTTGCGAAACATATTGTTGATAAAGAACATTGTATAGATCTTAATAACTTAAAATTACTTAAACAAGTCTCAAATTACAGGCAATTAGATGCGTATGAAAGCATCAAAATTAATAAATGTAAAGATAGTATGAAAAGAGACAACGGTCCAATTCCTTCAAGTTCTTTGTTCCTACTACTCTAGTGGCGGAAATCTAACTGTTACGCTCGGTGGGTTCTGACTCGGTTGGCTAGATTTTGCCACGTCCACTCTGTGCCCACTGAGCGAGTATATAAACGCTCCAATTGTAGATTGTTTTTTAGTTTATAATCATCTGCTGATGATGCTACCATGGTTAGCGAAACACGCGTCCAGTGTAAAAGTAAAAGTGTTTTGGTGTATTGTGGTGATTTAGTGTTTTATTTTGCTATTTAACACCAAAGCTTCCAACCCTCAACTGTAATAGTTAACTTAAGAAAGTGGAACACACAATAGATCTGTAATCTGAAAGGGCCCAATAAAACCGTTTTTTTTTTATTATTTCTGGGAAACAAACATTTCTCAATAGCACTTTAAAATAGGTATAAAAGAGACATTTTCAGACATACTCTGATAATTTTTTAGATTTATTTCAGCTTTAATTTAGAATCAGTAATATTTCTTTGAATGTGTGAAAGCTGTTGAAAATTAATAATGACAATTCTAAAAAAGACTCACCACCGATTAGTTGAGTCATGTTGGCCTCGGCTGCCCTTAAGATATCTTCCGCCTGTGCCCCGTCTCCCCACCCTTCTTTGCCATCCAATAACAGACCGTAATCGTGCTTTTTAAGAATGCCCTTTTTTTCGGGCATTCTATGATTATTATGTAGGTCTATAAACGATACTCTTTCTTCATCACCTACAGAATACAAAATTTTACACTATAATAATTAAAGATTCTTAGTGCAAAGCAGAGTGAATGAAGAATGAATGAATCAAAAACCAAATGATAACGATCTTTAAACTATTAAAGAAAAAAATCGAGCTGTGTGAACCTGAAATTCAGTCTGAAACGCGATTTGGTAGTTCTGAAGAGGTGGGGATGTATATACAGGGCAAGGCGAAAGTTTCCAGATAAATAAGATCGCAAAATCCCAATATTGCTAGGCATGCTATTACTTTAAACACAGAAACAACACTAAGTTCATGCACACTCGCCTAACGAGGTCTAAACCGAATTGCAAGTTCACACATTGGTAGTTAATGAAGTAAAAATGATAAACTAACAATGTTTGCAAACTATAATATTTTACTACTGAATGGGACAGACAACAGTTGAAAACATGTTGAAAATGAATATTAAGCTTTTAATATTTCCATCATTATATATTCATATGAAATATATTTCTAAATCTGGGAAAAATTATTGGAAAATTGAAATGATACTATTATATTTATTGCATCTAAATCATGTTGAATCAAATATTTTATACAAAAAAAAATTCTCAGATAATTATATAAACAATAGTTTAAAGGGGTGAAACTCAGGTAAAGCTTTTTGTTTATACTAGCTAATTTTTTAATACCTATCTATAGGGTGAGTCTTAAACAAGTGCAAATATTTTCAGGTCTGGTAGATCTCGATAAAAGAAACATATTTTCTATTTGCCATTTTGCAAATAAATCCAAAATAACCGAGATATTTTACTTTGAAAATTGAAAATAAAATTGATTTTTCGCTTTTTGAGAACCACTGGATCTTTTCTGCATTTTCTTTCTTATAAATTTAATTTACTAACTATATTGCCATAATAATAGGTATAGATATTTTTTTTATATTGCCATATTATAGAGATATTATGTTTTTTATCTAAAAATTAAAAATATTTCTAAAATGTTTTTCTAAAAATTCCAAATTTACAATTTTTTTACGCAAAAAAAACTCATAAACGTGTTTTAGGGTTCAAAATATACTACCCCTAAAAATATTTGTACTTATTTAAGACTCACCCGTACACCAGTATATAATATATACAGTACGGCGCCGGATTGTCTTTGCAAGAGGAAAAACTTTTTTATTATTGATATTTTGAGAAAAATGCATTCTTCATAAAAAGTTTTGCTTGTTCTAAAATAGTTAATCTCATTTATACTTTTACAAATTTCCTTACCGTTTTAGAAAAAAACATGAAAATATAGTTGAATTTAAAGTCCTAAAAATCAAAACGCCCACAGAATTTTAATTAAAGTCATATTTTTACTGTTTTAAAATATTAAAGAAGCACAAAATATATTTATTTCAATGCTACGGAAAGGGTGATAATTGTTATCGGAAAATATGATACTTTAATAACAGAAAAAAATATACCGTTAATCAAAATTAACCATAACCACCTATCAAAGAATGAAATCGAAATTATATTACCATAGAAGCACCTTTTGATTTTCAGGATAAAATTCAACCATGGTTTCATGTTTTTTTTTAATTTTCTCTAAAACAGTATAGATTATTTGGAAAAGTATAAACGGGATTAACTATTTTAGAACAAACAATTTTTTTATTAAGCACGCATTTTTCTCAAAATGTCAATAATTAAAAAGTTTTTCCTCTTTTGAAGACAATCCGGGGACATACTGTACAAAGAATTATTTTTTGAAATATAATTCTGTATATTTATTATCTGAGTTGTGACGATGTACTATTAATTAATTTAAATTTTCTTTCAAAGATTGTAGTAATATAAAATTAAGAATAAATGAATTAGTGCCAAAGTACATGGACGAAAAAAAGCAGAATCGAACCTGTGTTATATGATATAAAATATAAATCTTAGTTTTAGCTGAGGAAACACGAGAGATGGCACATTTTTTGTACTTTGACATTTGATTCTCTTTAATATTATTTGGGCTGAAAATTTTACTAATAAGCTTATTGTTATTTTGGGGTGGTGGTACAACTAACAATAACTAAGTAACATATAAACACATACCCCCGATTTCTTCAATATCCTCTCCCCCGACACCCATACGTTTAAGTTGTTGCATTTTATGGTCCCTGAAAAACAAATATAATTAGAAAACAAATTAACGGAAGATTCGTTGACTTACTGATATGAAGGTCCAGCGGCAGCCATGTGATTTGATGGTCGAAAGAGGACTCTTTGCGAGTCAGCTCGACTAAAGAGAAGAAACGGTAATTGATGAATAAACACTTAGTTTCCTTCTAAAACAACATCGAACTACGACCATATTAATGGGGAAAGATAGACAGTGTGTTCCTATTATCTACAGATACCAACATCTAACGTGTCTAAATTCTATAGCTATATCGTATCTAGTTTCAGTTTGTAAGAAAAACAGAATACCTAGTCCTAAGCACAGTCTTAAGTATGCATTTCGAATGATTTCTTTTTTGTCAAAAAAATGAGTTTGCTTGGGTGGATGAGGAAAACTAAACAAAAACGCATTTACAAAGCACGCAAGAAAAAGGTATAAACCATTCATTCGGACGCTCACTCTACGTGGTGGGTGAAATGAATAGTGATTCTAAATTTGATTAAAATATATATCTGTTCTCTCTTTTATAATTTTAACTAACAGATAAAATAAATCACCGTTTAAATAAAAGTTTGTGAAATATTTGATAATATGATGTAACTATCACATTATTTGATGGGATGGATATACTATAGCTAGAAATAAAATAAATATTAAGTATTTTGTAGTTTTAAACATGTAAGATGATTGACGACTATAATAACCTATATATAATCTAAAAATTACTACATACACCATACACTAGGGTGGGCATTTTAGGCCTTAGGTGCCGATTTTAGTGTGTACGAAGAGTGCGGTCAACACACTTAGTAAAATAAGATGTACTGAATAAAGAGAGAAGAGCAAGTATTTTCCCAAGCGCATGTAATTTAGCGTCAGATTAAGTGGTTACGTAATAAATACTTCGTATTTTTGTTCTCTCAGACTTGCTGGATTTCCATAGCGATTCACTCCTATGTAAAGGCCGACCCAAGGTTTTGCTTGCCAGGATAGTACATATATAAGAGATAAATTATCCATATTCATAGATTTGTTTTGATCCTACAAGAAAAATGTAAAAAACCGTTTGTTTCTTTATAACTTGATTTAACCACAGACTCAATATAATCCTATTTTAAAGATTGAATTTCCCTGGCGTAGTTTGAGAACTTGTCTGTTTTGTAGTAACACATACTGAATATTTTTTTAAATAAAATAACTCGATTAGATTTTTTCAGTTTTATACAGTTATTTTTTCAGAATATTTTGACGTAATCACATGTCAATACTTCGCATTTTTCTTTCTTCAACTTACTAGATCACTATAGCAATTCACTCCTAGACATGTAAACACTGGCCCAAAGCTTCGCTTGCCAGTAGGGTAGAGATGGGTTGTTATTTACCTATCTGTTATTTTATAACAGTTATTTAGAAATAACATAACGCAACCGTTGCGACTTCTAAAAATAACAGATATAAAATAACGACACGTAGAGATCGACCGCTCGTGAAACGAAGTCGGCGCTCTGCATCGCCACTGGTATGAAATATCTGTTATTTCAACAACCATCGATAACGGGCGGCGGCGCCGGCGCGCTGGCTGTCGAGATACAACGAAGTGGTGAATGCGCTACGCCGAACGTTGCTGCATCGGTCGATGGTCGTGTTCGGCTCTTAACAGTTAAAAATAACAGTATAATACTTTTTTAATATTAGTAATATTGATTTTATAGCAATTATTTCCTTAATTATTAATTTTTAGTAAAAACAGAGTTTAATTTTTAGTAAAAATCTTCTACTAAGGCACAAGAGACACAAACTTACTGAACGTTTACAGAGTTTAATTATAAATTTTATATTTTAAGTACATTATTTTTTATTAAGAACACGAACATGAAGATTTTTATGATTTTACTAGAATTTGGACAATGCGTATCGTATTTTAGATGTTAACATTAAAGTAAAAAAATAACAGAAACCTGTTATTTTAAGCTGTTATATATAAATAACAGTGACAGTTTCAACTGTTATTTAAAAATAACGGTTTTGCCCACCACTACAGTAGGGTATATTAAAATGACAGAAATTGTCGTTTAAGCAAATTTACCTTCAAGGTTCTGTTTTAGTCGCCATATTTCCCTCTTCGTCAATCATCTTACACCAATTATACTTACTAAAATCGGTGCAAATACACAACAACAGACTGTTACAACGTAAAAAAGGGACCGCTTTTCTTCGGTCCCCACTCACCCGAACGACGACACGCTGCCGCCCGGGCCAAGCGTCATCATTTTGGTGGTGCCCGCGCTGTCCAGGCTGTCCTCTTGCGAGTGGTTGCCCGAGGTGAGGATGTAGTTTTTCGGGATGGGTTTCCTATAGGCCCTCTCGTACTTACTCACCGTCGTCTTCCTTCGTTTACGCAACACCGGAAGTGGATCGGAAGTGGCGCACGCGCGAAATTGAAAGAGAACAAACGTTAGGGTTTGTTTAGGGGGGCCTGTGCGGCCGGTTTCGTGTGTCGGTTTTGGTGTGGATGTGGGAGTCGTATTTTTTGCAGTGATCACAAGATAATTATTTTTTTAGATTGTTTAATAAATAAAATGTATTAGTATTTGAAGCATATACATATAATGTATATTAGGGTGCATAAAAAAAATAAATCTTTTTTTTCTTTTCAGTTTTTTTTTAGAAAATATTGTTCAGGACGATGCCCAAAAGAAACCCTGGTAAAGTTTGAGCTCTTAATGTTAATATTAAGAGGTGTCTCATCGTGATTTTCTATTTCCAATTTAAATAACAATGGGAAACATTTTTTTTTGTTTTTGGAATTTTATTGCGTTCTAATAAATCAGCGTTTTGTAAAAATCAATACATTTTCTTATAGGAAATTGAACGGTCTTCAAAAATGGTCTGATTTGATGTGTATTGATTTTAGCAAAACGCTGATTTATTAGAACGCAATAAAATTCTAAAAACACAAAAATTATTTCCCCGTGTTGTTTAAATGGAAAATAGAAAATCACGATGAGACACCTCTAAATATTAATATTAAGAACTCAAAATTTTTTAATGCCTGTAATAACAGGCATTACTTTAATTCTCATGCATATTAGTTTTGTCATGAACAGAGCTTACTACTTTAACTAGTATTTAAAATCTAGATCTAGATCTGATTTTAAAAAACATTTTTTCCGTTACTTATATAATTTTTAAATTGCTTTGGAATTAGAAATGCTTATCAAATATAAATATTTATGCTTCTTTGAAAATATAGCCCAATATTAAACAATTTAAAACTTTACAGTCTTCCTGAATCAATTTGACTGATTTGCTGTTGTAACACCACTGTGATTTACAAAATTACAATCAATTTTTTGAGAAGTTGACAATTACCATATGATTCGTCACTCGATGTATCAAATCTGTGTGATACTAGTAAAACTATTTTGAAATAATTACTTTTGGAAGTCCAATATTTCCTCAAAATTAGAAAACCCCCACCTTGTAATCTGTTCACCCATGAATTTGTACTGAATGAATTTTTCAGTCAAAATAAACAAAAGCAGAACAAGCTTTCACTTTTACCAAAAGTATAAATATAGTGATCAGTTTCACTAAAGATGTGTTCCCACTTTCGTTACTCGTTCAGTAACATTGAATCAGTCAGAATGCTTCAATGAGACTGACAGACAAAAACCGCTTTTACATAAAATGTTTTGGTCAGTTTTTTTTACTACATTACCTTGGGACCACTGCATTTAAACTTAGAATTTAAATACCTCTTTTAAAATATTAAAATTAAGTGCTTTATAGAGAAGATTCTAGTGGTTTTAGTAACTTAAGCTATCAGTTCTGAAATCTGCGTGTTAGAATAAAAAAAGTGTCAAGAGGGCCAAACACACTTACACACACATTCAAGCCCTAAATAAAAAAGCGTCCAAGTACCAACATATTAACACCATAAAAAAAATTGCTACATATAAACAAAGCACTCATGCATTGTATGTTTACTTCATGTGAAATCATTCTAATATTGCTACAATAATATGAGAGAGAAATATAGTAAAGTTTGTAATGACTGAAGTAAACATACGTTAATAGCAGCAAAGTTGCATGCTATGTACCTTTAAAGAAAAATACACAGTGTATGATTACAGTTGTTTTCTTTATCAATTTATTTTTTTAAAGATTCAGCGTTCAAATTTGTGTTTGTTAAATCAGTGAGTTAAGCATATGGCGTGTATGAATGATAAACTCAGATATGACATAAAAATATCAATATAGTTTTATTTACAATTTCTACTCTTATAGAAGTGCATATAAACTAATCCTAAACAGTATCTCAATTTCAAATTTTATTTCAATTAAATTTTTCAAAAAGAAAGGTGCGTCATACTCTGAGCAGTTATGATACAGTGAATACTAAATTTTTTTGTTTTGTATATTATTTACACACACTGTATATTATTTGTTAATATTTAAAGGTACAATATGAAGTATTAAATTTTACCGCACATTCCTCTTGGAAATGGTGGGAGGGGGTAGTTTTTATTAAACAATTTACAAAGATCTACGGCCAGTCGTGGATACTTAAAAATATTTCAAATGATTTCCACGCAATAGAACCTGTTCCTAATGTTATAACTTAATTTATTCCATTAGGCAATCTCGTTCGAACTGACAACACTGTATCCTGTTTTCTTTACATCATTCCCTTAGCTGGAATAAGTGTTTGTTTTGTGTTCTCGTCCGTTGTAGGGAAGAAAAAAGCTATTTGTCATCGGCTGTCCTATTTTCCTTGCCTCGAAGATCGATTGTAGCAACTTTCGGTGTCTACGCAATCATGTGCTCGCCGTATTCGACAGAGAGAAAACTATTGAAAATATTACTTTTAAAAGACATGTTTGCTTTGGTCCGGACTTTGGAAGGAATGTTCGAAGGCCAGAATGCGATTTATCTTGTTCCGAGTTTCGCTGCTAGCGTTGAGTCGCGAACAAATATATTGAAATATTCTTTTGTTAGGAAAATATGAACTTAAATCTTAATGCTACAGGATTAATATGCTTTGTTCGAGTTTGTTTTAAAGAAACAAGTTTGTAAATTATTGATAATTTAGTATTTTTTTTCGGACACCTCAATTAATTTTATAAAATTTCAGTCAATAAAATAAACCGTTTAAATATCAATTTTGTACTTGCTTTATGTTATTTTTTTATTATAGACACAGTATAGGAAATAGTAGAGCTACTCTTATTTTTTTTAATTTCTTAATTTATCTTATCCTTCAATTTATCTTTGTAGAGCAACACAAGAGCTATTTATTAATATGTTAATATTTGACTCAATTGAAGTTATGAAATTATAACGTAATCTTCAAAATATATTTTCTCTGAAACAGAGTTTTTAGAATAATATATTCTACATAACAAATAAAAATGTAAATCAAATTTTAATGTTGTTGATGGAAATTATCTAGATATACAGGGTGAGTCTTATATAAGTGCAAATATTTTCAGGGTTGCTAAATCTAGCTAAAAGAAACATATTTTCTCTCTACCGTTTTTCAAATAAATCTAAGATATCCCAGTTATTTTACTTTGAAAATTCCCAAAAAAATATTTTTTGCTAAAACTTTGAGAACCACTGGATCTTACCTGGATTTTCTTTTTTGTAAATTTAATCTACTACCTGTATTGTCATATTATCAACAAATTATTATTTTTTTAGCTAAAAACTAAAAAAAAATTGCAAATTTTAAAAAAAATCGAATCATTCCAAAAAAATTCGCAAAAAAAACCTCATAATCATGTTTCTGGGGTTGACTACCCCTAAATATATTTGCACTTATTTAAGACTCACCCTGTATATTAATATCACAACATTTTGAGCCATTTTTAATTTTTTCACATGAAGCTAAGTCCCAGATCCTATACTGTGTTAAGACCTATTTATCCAATTATTTACCTTATCTGTTGACTATTGGAGTCTAGAAAATCAAAAAAGTTAAGCTCAAATTACATTAATATGGCTATGATTGCTTAAACACCAATTTTGAGAATTGAGACATTTGTAGCATTAGGTAAATAGCATGTTTTTCTTAGAAATTGATATTAGTAGATTTGTAATGATCAGCAATTATTTTTATATTTTATACAGTTTAATTTATTTTTATGATTACTAATTTGATAAATTTATTAAATGAGAAAATTATTTTAAAGAATGAAAATATAGTTTAAGTAAATGATAAGTATAACAAAACCTTATTAAGCTGGGCACATAGACATTTAGTGTGTGTATATAAAAAAATATTGCTACAAAAAATCATTTGATGTTGTATGCTATTTATACCTAATTAGTTTTTCTTTCTCTGCTTAAATAGCTATGTGCCGAGCTTAAATAACCATGAATATAGTGCAAAAAAGAGTATTATTCAAATTTAGTTTAAGAAATTTTGAATATCATTCGATACTGTTTTTAGAATTGTTAAATTATTTCTAATTAATATATAAAATTTGGATAAAGGTAAAAGTGAAAATTCTAATTTACTGACATTGGTGATATTCACAATATTAATAGTAAAGATAAGCGTAGCAGAGTAGAGATGTATACAGTGTTACAGTAAGTAGTTTCTCAAATATAATTTTTTAAATAAACATTATAATAGAGCTAAATCCAAATTAAATAACATTATTTTAGGTATTCTATATCACAAATATAATCAATTTTTAGTTACTTGTTTTGTGTTGATATTATTTTTTGACAACTTCTTCCATAGAATGGCTATAGTAATATCTGTTGCTTTTAGCCAAGAAAGTAAAAAATTAGCTGCAACTTACAGTTTAAAAATTCTGGAACTGTCACCATTAAAGCTAACGTTATACGAAAAAAATTGTAACACGACAATTCCACTAGTTCTTTATTAAACACAGAAATAAAAAAATAACGATAATAACAGATTATTTTGTTTTGTGACCAAAAGTTTCTAATAAAGAGCTACTTTTGAGATATGGATTTTTCTAGATATACAGGGTGTCCCAGGCTGAGTGTGTATTAGATGTTTCTAGAGAACTACAACATCTATCTCGGAGATTTTTTGAACATCATAGTTTTACAACGAGATCTATCGATTAAAACTATTTTCAATATGGCGGCACTTCCGGAAATACTGGAAGTTGACAGCAACTTTCTTATTTTAAATGGGTACCCCCATTTTTTATTATCTACTTAAATTCTCTGTTAAATTTTATGAATTTTGATATTAAACACTCTATATCTAACATTGGCCGTTTTTGAGAAAAAAAATATTTAAAATTTTTGAACGAAAAAAACTGCCTGTCAAAAATATGTGTATAGCCTAAACGTCAAATTTAGTGATTACCACAGCCACTGTGCCATACCTAAAGAGAAAATATGTGGCTATCTATTTTAAAAATGAAATTGTTCGAATGTCATTTAATAATAGCCGCAGCTATCATAGAATTGAGCGATAAAAAATTATCATAAATAATTTTTTCAAATGGAAACCCACTTTTTTATTTCGCTAGTGAAAAGGCTACTTTTTAACTATACATGTTCCTATACCTAAAATAAATCGTTTTAAAGTTATTTAAGATTTTTTTCTAAAGCGTATATTTTTCTTGATTTTAACCAGTAACCTATGACTTTAAACATCAAGTGATAGAATAGATAAAACAATAGATCTGGCCATGTCATATTGTGACGCTTTGTTCAAAAAGCAGCATCATTTTCGAGCCAACTTTGCGCTATTTTTTTCTTTTGATCATACGGAATATTATTAATAATATCAACTATTATATATCGCTAAAAACGAAAATACGAGATATATTTTTTATAAATACACTTTTTAAATTCTTAAGCAGGCAGTATTTATACTATAGGAAATCCAAATAATTTGTTTTCTGACAGATGGAAATAAATTGTCTGACCGTTTGACACTTAATGTCAAAGGAAGCTAGATAAAATCAAGAGAAATATACGTTTTCAAACTAAATTTTAAACTTAACTTAAAAACGATTTAATTTAGGTATAGGAACATGTATAGTTAAAAAGTAACGAATTGAAAAACCGTTGCATTAGTCAAATAAAAAAAGTGGTTTTCCATTTGAAAAAAATGATTTATGATAATTTTTCACTCAATTCCACCACAGCTACCGCCATTATTATATGACATTTGAACTATTTAATTTTTGAAATAGATAGCCACATGTCTTCTCTTTGTCCAAAAATTTTAAATATTTTTTTCTCAAAAACGGTTAATGTTACATATAGAATGTTTAACATCAAAATTCATAAAATTTTACAGAGAATTTAAGTACATAATAAAACATAACATATAACATAAGAAAGTTGCTGTCAACTTCCAGTAGATAGTTAAAAAGTGATGTGCAAAAAATCTTCGATCTAGATATTGTGGTTCTCTAGAAACTTCTAATGCACGCTCAGCCTGGGACACCCTGTATATTTTGGTGGTTTTGAATTAGACACAAAAATTGTCAATGTTATTATGTCCAGATATTGAAACTGCAATAAAAACAAACTTAGCGAGACCTGATGTTTGATAGTTCTGTTTCGTTCAATAATAAACATGATGAGAAACTATTTACGTTCGAACTGTATAAAATTGCAGATAGGCATAATATCGTAAGTAAATCAGTGCAAAAGGACAACGACTCGATTAACAAATGCCAAAAAGTCTCAAAAGTAGCGTAGATATACAGAGCGCATGAAAATAAAAAGCGAACGGGCGGATGCTGAAACGAAATCGGCTACCTGGACTGGTTTCTGCTCACTAACCTGAGACAGAGGGAGAAGTTTCTATGTACTACGACTGACCTGTAGCAGAGGGCCATGGTGGCGAACACTACGAACACCCCCCCTACCACCGACATCAGAATACCCACGAGAAAAACCGTGTTCGACCCGTGATAGTCTTCTGCGCGTCGGCAAGCGCGCAGGCGTTGGCGGTCGGGTCGGTTCGGGTGCGGTCGAGTCCAATCGGGATGCGTGTGGTAGTCGTGCACCGCATCGGCATGCATCGATGCACGCACCAGCGCAGCAGGAGAAGGCAGGCAGACAGAGAGAGAAAGAGAGGAAGCGCCCATCAGACAAAAACACTGACGCGCGTGTTCTCGCTCGGCCACCTCTTGTGGTGCTTTCGTATATGATAAACAAACTCTAACCATAGCGAGTTGAAAATAATCTGTTTTGTATTTATTTTTTTGGACCCAAATTTATATTATTATTATATTTTTATTTTTCAAGCCGTAAAGCCTGCGGAAAAAAATATTTGTAACTAAAGGGGCTATGAGAAATTGCTGGAAATTATTTTCAAGTTTGTAAAACGGCCGCTAGGTGGCGCAACTGCTATGGAAAATAAGAAAATAGTTTTTTTACAGAATTTTGCCTATATAATGGGTACTATAAATAATAGCTTCATAATCTTCAACAAATTTTGGATTTTTTTTTGTTAGAACCATTTTCCCCTATCTGCTAAAATAAAGTGGTGGGGGAAGTTTAGATCTGTCTTTATTTAAATGTTAATAACTCCGGACTGGATGTTCAGAATCCAACAAACGAGGGCTGGTTTAAAAGAGTGTTTCTTACTCTATATTATGCCATAAAAATAATAATAATAAGGTTTTGAACGTAGACGGTAGGGGGCGCTTTCTTACAATTTAACAAACATAGCGCGTTTTTTCAAAAAAAAAAAAAATTCGATTGTATATGTTATTTTAGCTGATAATAAAGAGTAGTAAAAGCTTAAAAAGTCAGCGAAAACCGCATCTTCATATCTTCTTTCAAACCGAAGATATTAGCAAAATTATAATAAATACCAAAAAATAAGAAAAATATATATAAATAAATAAGAAAAAATAAGTCCTTAATTACCTTATTTTTACAATACATTATCAGTAGCCCTCTTGATTAGGCCCATTCAAACAAAAAATAAGATACAAACAGTTAATTTATTTTAAAATCTAATATACCTTACAATTTTTCAATTTTTCTCTTTAATTATGTTTCAATACCTTGCCAACTGATGATTTTTTACATATTCAAAGTGCAAGTTTGTAATTTGCCACCATGAGACTTATCTTGTCACGCATGTGACAAAATATTTTTTATTGGACATTTTTAAGCGACTCAATTTTTATAGAAAAAAAAGGGCATTATTACTTAGCACTAATAAAATATTGTTTATGCATCTTTTCCAGTCACTCAATACCTATTAAAAGCAATGTAAAAATTTTAGATAGTTATCTTGTAGATAAATTTTACATTATTCAGTTACTACGTTCAATATTTTTTATTTATAATGACTTACTGATTTTCAGTTTTCATTATGCATTATTTTTTCTAAGAATGTTGTTTAAATGACATTAAAATGATTAGTTTCAATTTTATAACTATCTAATGCCTGACAACGTCTTCACTATAGTTTTCCTTTGATTAGAATGCTTTGTGTGGTTTGGATATACTATATTCATATTTGAATATCTTTAAATTAAATTGCAAAATATTGATTCTACAAAATATACTTAAAAAGTATTAAAATGTCACTTGACTAACTTATTCCAAGACTATTTTAAGCTTTACATAAATATTTAAGGGACAAAGCTGCTATAATTTAGAATAATTAATCTATTTAACTTCAGCTACTTCTAGGATAATTAATCAGTACTCAAATAATTATCCACCATATATTTGAGTTCGTTTGTCATATACAAAAACTCACCTGACCAGATTTTCTTAAACTCTTATTACTCATAGTTCAAAAAAATCCTGCAAGAAGTGGGAGCGATAATGGCAGCGGACTGAGCGAAATCTTACAGCATTTTTGCGACGTTCATACTATATATACACCAGAACGTACTTCTCCCATTTATTACCCGAATTTAATCTTGATAAACTAGAAAACCTTTTTGCTTGAACCCAATCCCCGTCGTACATATATACAGCTAGAAACAAGACAGACTAAATATAGAAAAGGCAATTAAATTTCTGTTATCGCGGGCATTGATTAATGACGCCACATGCAGCAACACTGGCAACACTTCTTACGTGTATACACATGTGTGACGGTCTTATTGTTTACGTAACAAATGAAGTTGTTCGGTTTGGTGATAGGAGAGGGGGTAGTGGAGCAAAGGGAGGACATAAGATGGAGGAGAGGTGAACGGATGTTCTTCGTTTCTCGTCATTTATTACTACTGTTATTCAGGGGAATAATAGGAATCCTTTTCGATGCCGGATATGTTAGTTTATAAATGGATTAAGCTATGGATTCATTTCGTTCCAGTTACAGGTTTTCTCCAATAACAATAGACAGATTTTAGCTGTTATTTCTAACCATTCTATAATAAAATTATAGATATCACCCTTGTTTATATATTAATTAGTTATTCATTGTTAGTTCTGGGAGTTCACTGATAGATGGCTACGAGAATTGCATCGCGATTCTTTCAAAAATTTGAATTTCTTATTAAGTGGAACAATCGTAAGAACACGGTAAACTTATTAGGTTAACAATTCTTATTAGTTTACTTTATTAAGTTTACTTATTAGTGAACTCCCAGAATTAACTCGCGCTGAATAACTAGTTAATACATATATAAACAAGGAAGGCACTAAGAAAATTTGGTTTTTAGGTAAAAGTGATTAAAGTGAACTTAACATTAGAAAAATACTTGCAAATTGGTTATACCGGGTGTTTTCAAAAGTGGCTCACCCCTATAACTTTTTTATATTTTTAAACAGAAAAACGATATTCGGTATGCTAGTATGTAAATATGTTAAGATAAACCATAATACCATAATACCATTGAATGACGTATTCAATTATTTTTGGATCACTTCCTGTTTCACCGGAAATGCCTACGAAATTTGATTTTTATATAGTACCCTCGGTATTTTTCTTTGAATAAGAAAACTAAAAAAGGAGCATAATGCTATCCATATATTCATGTATGGTGGGCGGAAAAAGGACTCTAGGGTGGGGATTCTTGACAGTTCTGTTTGACGATTCATTTGTCACATTTGAATTTGATTTGAAATTTTGTGGATTTGTCAGTCTTTACGGAGCTTATTTTATGTTATTTATTATTTATTCTACTACTTATAGTTGTATAAATGTAGTAAATCTAGATGGAAATTGTGGCAGAACTTAAATTAACAGTGACACTATCGCGATTTATCGAAAAATACTCTAAAATAGTTGGTTGTGTAGCGTGCGGTAGATCTTAGCAAAAATCGAGTGAAATAATTGAATAACTTTTCGCTAGTAAGTAACTATATAATATACATACGTGTAGTAAACCGATCATTTATGAAATTCACTTAAATTAACTAATTATATATTTTTTCTTGCATTTTTGCTTTTATTTTCTACTTGTCAAAGATTAGATGTCAAAGAATTTAGATACGTCAATTTGACTTACCTGCTTCAGTAGCGTATCGGATGTTTGTGTTAATAAATAATTATTAAAAATTATCTATTTTTATTATAATAATATGTTTTTATAACAATTGTAATAACTACCAACATTTATTCACAACGTAAAATAAAAAAAAAATAAATTATTGAGTCTACCCCACGTCTACCCTACATCATAGTTTTAGATTTTTTAAATTAAATTAGAACGGCACTGATAAACCGGAATTTAAGTCGGCCATATTTGCGTCCCATCGCGGTGGACCTAAGATTTTTGATATGCTCCTTCCTTAGCCTTCTTATTTAAAGGTATTTTTTTACTTTATTCCATAGAAAATGACATTTTGCATAGAATGTCATCTCATATGTCAACTTTTGACATTTTCGCTTAAAAAATAATATTTTTAATTTCAATATATTGTCGTAAATGTGTCATAACCAAACTTTGACTCGAAACAACAAGAATGGTACCAAAATATACGTAAAAAATACTTTTTGAAATATGCGAATGAGCCATTCTCGTTCTATTTGGAAAAATAGAATTGTGGTTAAAAATTGACAAAGATTTGGTCATCTTTATAGAGTACCATTTAAAAATCAAAATATATAGTCATCTCCGGTGAAACAGGAAGTGACCAAAACTAATTGAATACGTCACTCAATCCTGATTTATGTCATATACATACATACCAAATCTCTTACTTATAATTACATCAAAAAGTAACGATAATTGAAAAAATTGCAAAATGTTTGTGGCAAGTTTATTTTGCTCTTAAAAATTAACTAAGGTATGTGTTGACATGAGTCCAAAAACAAAATATTCAGGAGATATCGTTCTGACTGAAAAATAATGTTTTAGGAAAATTTGCTCACAAAATTATTGCACAGGATGTTTTAAAGATAGGATAAAAAAAATCTTCGATTAACCCTGTATAATAAGTCAAATACTAAAGTGAGTTTACGAATTAAAGTTATTATATTTATACACAATTTCCGAAAAAAAAAATCAAGGAAATACAGCTATAAATAAAAGAGATATAACATTTTAAACTTAACCAAAAATTTTTCTGCTGCGTTTTTTTGCATCTGAGTATATTTACCCTCGTATCTAGATTAATATTCTGTTTTGACTAAATTATTGTGTCGCAAGTGATCCTGTAAATAGGCTGCAAGGCTGCTTTGACACGAATGCTTAAACTGCCATAAATTTAAACATTTTTAATGATTCTGGTAATTGGTTACTTTTTCGCATACTGCCTGTAAGATTTCGCTTAGTCGTCGCAAATATATGCTAAAATACATTATACACATATAATACAATTTAATATAAGTTACATAAAAGAAGTAACGTACTGTACACATAGCAAAACAAAAATAAAATATTACGAAATACCATAAATCACAATCCCCTTTATATCATTATAATACACCCCTTGTTTTATATAACAACAATATTTTTCTTTCTACGTTCATTATAATTTTTTTAAGGGTTTTATTTATTC